ACCTACACATCAGTTGTACACAACTCTTTTTCAAATCACTTGATATGCCATTTATATAGTGCTTTGACTCATGTATCAGATTTTTTTCAGGTTTGTTTTTTATAAGCTTGGAAAAAAAAAAATGAAGGCAGCAGTATAACAACCCTGAATCTTGTTTTTCAACACTAACATGTGAATGTTCCCTACTTAACAGGAGCTATCACCTTAAAATTAAATTAGAAATAAATATTTTTGAACCTGTTGTAACAACTCGTACTAACTCAGCACACAACAAAGTAACCTTCTGGCTGTTCAGTTTGTGCATTTCATGAGAGTCCACAACTACCTCCTTTTTCTAATGTCTGTAACAGAACATCAGACAAAAACGTTTCTGTAAAATATGAAAATATAGTCTTAAAATGACAAAAAAAAAGAAGCAAAAGCTCTTACTATCTCTACACCTTGTGAGATTTCATAGCAAAGTAGCTTTTAATAACTAAAGGAAAAGGTCTTCCAACTACTTAGCAATACCATATCAAATTCTGAATGTACCGATTATTTGCATTTATATCAGCTACTTTATCCTGGCTGTTTTTAAAAGGAGTATTGAATTCAGCCACATTGTTCCAGACTAACTTTTATTTCCCTAGGCCAAAACCAAAATTGAGTATTGATCTTGAAAACTACTCCTGTCTCCAGGAGCTAGATCACATCTCTGAATAACCCACTCTCTAGCAGCTTATCTTGAGAGACAAGCTGAATGTGATCCATACAATTTTTTTCATATGAGAACAAACCTCCTATTTTCATAAGCTTGTTCTATGAAGAGTCACTGCCACACCTTTTTTGGGAGGAAGATTACTGGGTTTCTCATGACTTTTTCCTCCCTTCCCGTGCCTTACCAAGGAGCTCTCTGCTCAGACTGGAAAGTTCCCTGTTTCCAAGGCTCAAGGTCACAAAACCCTCTTCATTTTATGAGCAACCTGCTGTTATCATCCAAAGAAGCAGAGAAGCTAACGTTGAAGACAGTTTTTCCAGACAGTATTGTAACCAGGTCTAAATATTATTATTAAAGAAAGTCTTATCTCTGTCCTTTTATTAATATTCATTTAAATGTTACCCTTTGGCCTCACTTTTCATGCAAGTCATCCCACTAGAAGGTAAACGCTTTTCAGATGAGATTCCCTCCACAATGATGACCTCATTTGCAAGGTCTTCCCTTCTTTTCCCCATCCACCAGAGGAAAAAAGGACTTTTTCCCTATTTTCCCTTTCTGTGGCAACTGGAGAAAGAAAACAAACAAACAACAACAAAAAAAGCAGGGGAATAATAAATAAGCACAGAGAAGAAAACAAGACTCAAGCTTCCCAAAGCACATTCTTGAATGAAGCTCATGAAACAAGGACCCACACTCAGAAGACCAGGCCTGAACTACCAGGCACTACTGGGAACTGTGCTCAAACCTACTATTCTGATTTTGTTATCTCCCTTAACCTATTATTTTGGGGCTAAAACCTAATATTTTATATCTTCCTTTCCTTTAACCACCCCTCAGCCCTGTGTCTAGTCTTAACCCTAAGCAGTCTTTCTCTTTGCCCCCATTCCCTGCTGAGCAACTCTTCCCTCTGACTGACAGTTTACTGTTTTATGCCTCAAGGTCATTTAATCTTCTTGTGTCCCAAGTCACAACCTATCACAGTATATGGGAAAGAAAAAAAAACCAAAACCAACAAAACAACAACCAACCAAACCCCCCACCAAACACCAAAAAACCACAAAACACAAAGGCCACAACAACAGAAATAATAATTCATTTACAAAGGCAGGTTTGCCATATTTTCTGGCTGTTGGTTTTTCCTGGAAGGAGGCCAGCTGAGGCTTAATTTTCAGTATCTTTTCTAAAGATCAAATATAAATGAAGTCTTGTCACGTTGTCCTGGAGAAAACCAAAAGTACCACCAATGGGATAACGTATGCCCAGACACAAAATGTTTATAGAAATTTAGATAAGATATTATCCAGTTTAATAAAACTTCTTTGTGCTCATTTAGAGGAAGACTATTCATAATTAGTTTTTATGGGTTTTATATAATGAAAAAATTCTAAAGCCCATGTAAACAACTTTTCCATTCACTCTGATCACAAATCTGAAAATCACGAATGATCTTGATAAGAGTTGCGTCCTGTTATAACGACTTTCTATGCTCACGCTGAGCCGTTCTGGTCATGCTTTTACTCCGATGCATAGCTGACAGTCAAGAAACTCACAGCAGACAACAGCAACTTTGAAAATGAGCTTCTGTCACTTGATTTGAGTGGAAGAAAAGCACAGTCCTTCTCAAATTCTGTTTTAATTTAGAGATGAAAATAAAAAATAAGAATGTCATTGCAAGGTGTGCCTAAATGGAAGGCTACGCCAGTAGTTACTCAGGCTCCCTTCCTTCCTCCCTTCATACAGTCTCTATGTGAAAAGGCATTAAGGAAATTATTTGGTAAAAGGTACATTCCTTTCTCCCCATTGGAGATTTGCAGACACCTTCTGTTTATGGTTACACTAATTTCTTACAATTTAAATAAGTAAATACTTTTCTCCAGTATAGGTGATATTCTCTACTATTACTTCTACAGTCAATTTTGTCATCTTCATTAGTGTTCCTAATAAGCACAGTACCAACAGTAAACAGTCCAGTAAAACAGAACTACTCCAGCCATCTACTGATTGCATACAAACGTGTAGGAGTTTGGTACTTCCCTCTTGCTAAGAAAAAGTAATGACAAAAAAAGAACAAAAAAAAAAAAAAGCAGCATCACTCATCCCACAACTATTTAAAAACCTCTCAATTTTCACTGATGTCATTCATTAGGCACTCTAAGATAAATCAAGGAAGTAGTGCTGTTTTCTTGGTTCAGCACATTTTTAAAAATCTTTACCGTGGAAGCTTTGTGTAATTATCCTTGAAATAGAGTATTCTGAAGGAGTTCCACGACATATGGAAATTGGAATAATGAGTTGCATTTTCTTGTCTATCATTTCTGTTAGCATTTTGTAGAAGTTGTACATCTTTAGATGTTGGGTAAGTCTCTCCCTTCCTTCGAGTCCATACTTGGATCAAGATCATTACAATTTCTCCCACTCAATGCCCTAAACAAAACATAAATGCCATCACCATCAATCTCAGCAAGCTCTGTAGGACAACTAATATTAATAGAATTACCTTCTCCAGTTAGATTTTTCATTAGTAAATTACGGTGGAAAACAGTGAGTGGCACCACCTAGTCAATTTGAACAAATCATCTACGTCAGTTGATAACTATGCTGAGTAAGGAAACTCAGCAATTTGGGATCCAGTACAAGACATCATTAAGCACGAAGCCAACATTTTTTTTTACCCCTGAATTAAACTACAGTAAGCATTCTTTACAGGTAAAACAGAAAAGTTTGCAAGTTTAGCTGCTGCAGAGCGTGTGCCTGCAAAGTCACAAAGCATGAACTACAAATCACAGCATGTCATATTTCCATATGCCAATGCATAGTCTCGGGCCAGGCCTGCAGTTATTTCTGCTGAGGGTTAGAGAATTGAACCACACTAGTGAAGGAGGAGACAGAAAAGATGAGTAGCAGAGCACGTGCCAATTTCCCAAATAGCCCAGGACATCATCCAATGTCACTTCATGCTTTCCACCTAGCTGCAGAAAAGCCTCCCAACATCTGTCTTCTACAAATGGACCGTTACTGAATACAGCAAACACCTCCATGCCAGATCCTCATGCTCAGATTTATTTATTTTTCTAAACAATTCTTCTCAAAAAAAGACACTAAATGTTCACTGCTTTATAACCTGTGTGATAAAGGAAAGGCAGTAAGGATGTGTCCACTACCAGCACCACAATGCACTCAACCTGCCAGGTTTCCTCTCTTGGTAGAGGAAGAGGATGCTGCTGAGGATGCTCATGTTCATGCGAGGAACACTAACACTGCACTGCTTAATCCCATCCCAGGATGGCATTTGGCTCTTCTTGATGCATTCTTCATATTTCAGGCTTGCTATTGGGTCAGAAAGAGCAACTGGAACCAGAAAGCTTTTGCATAAGCTCTCCATTACTTAAATCCACTTGCTCCAAACCACTGATTTGTGGGGAGGGATGAAAGATTGTAGAAAAAGGAGAGCAGCCTTTTAGTCTCTGTCCTTTGTTCACAGCACAGAAAGGACCTTGCAAAAATTACAAAAATGCAAACCTTGAGAAGACACTTGTGTGACAGAAAAACTTTTTTCACTCCCTTCCAAGGCACAGAGCTTGATTTCCCTTAATGGCTAATGATTAATGTATGAAAAAAAGATGAACAGCCAATTTATCTGAAACATGAGGAACATGATCCTTTATTTTTTTCCTGGAAAGGCCAATATGGCTTAAAAAGAAGATAGGGTTTTCCTGTCCCTGGATCAAAATTGTTCTGTTCCAACATGAAAGACAAAGGGAAGATGCTGCTCAGTGTTTAAACAGGTTTCATTCCCAGAAGTGAGGAGAAGAATAAGTTCCAACAAATGGAATTAAAAAAAAAGTATCTTAAAAATGAAATTCTTACTGCTTCACCACACTGCACTCATAAATTGATAGCACTGTCAATTTGTTAATGACCAATGCTGAACCATTACCAGAGAAGAACAAATATATTGTTATGCACTTACAGGGTGAAAATTTTATAACAGACTAGTCTTAAGAACAATTTGCTTACTGGAGAATTGGTTGGGAAACTCTCACCTGCCTGCACATTTCAACAAGAAGCAGCCATACACTGCAGCAGAAAGTTTGGCAAATACAGTACATGCATAAGGACAACAGCTTCTTAAACACTTATCTATAGAATAAAAAGTAAAATATTCCAGGATATATCAAAATTCATAATGTCAATTTAGATCACTGATGAAGCACATCCCCAATGAGGATGTACAGAGAACATTACTGTGTTAGTCAGTGAACCAAAATGCCTGTGTCGTATTGTAAAGCAGCAGAAACCCTACCTGCACATTTTGTTCTTGTTGTGAGTGGTGGTCCAGGGGGCCCTGTGCCTCCTTCTCCAGGGCGAGTGAGCAGCACTCTGATCTCATACTCCACATCAGGATCCAAATGCCACAGTTTGTAATTGGGAGAGTCTACAATGTGCGTTTCTGCCCAATTCCCAGTGGTCGTCCGATACTCCACCTCTTTCAATATGATGGGCCCATCTCCAATGATGGAGTTGGCGTTGGGTTTGATCCACAGGTACGTGGCTCCGACAGCCAGCAGCTCAGGAGGGGCGATAGGAGTTGGGGGTTCTGTAGACAAAAAGAAATCATGAGAGGCTGAGATAATTTTGTCAAAAGGAACAAATTTCTACTATGTATCTGTCCAGCAAGGCTGTTGCCTTTTGTAACACAGGCACAGTTTCTCCTACCATTTACCAGATCTTTCATAAGAATTCAATCTCTTACTGAAAAGAATTTGTTTGGATTTTTTTTTAATTTGTGCTAAAAATTCAGCCTCCTTACCGAATAGTGGTTCTAATAATACTACCACTGAGGTAGTATTACCAATTCAAAAAACATCTGCACATATAAAGGAACTACAAAGCAACTTGCTTTTTAGAATAAAATCCAAAAGCCACTTATAAAAGATCAGAAGGTTTATATTTATTCCCTCCTTTAAGCATACAAGCAATAGCAGTCAATATGATATTGGAGGGTAAGAGGGGAAAGAAGTCTTAAATAACAACGACTGAGTGCACTTAGCATATACCATGCATACAAAAGCTCCAGCACAACAGCCCTTCCTCTGCCCTGTGACCCAACGTGGCAGAATATTGTGATAATTGGTCATGATATTGTGGTTCAGCCAAAGTGTAATGCTTAATATACCACAATTAGCAATCCAAAGTGGAAAACTCAAATCACTTGATCATTTTGTGATTTTATCAAGCAAAATAATAAAGGTTCAAATTAGGACATATTTTTTTCATCAAAGCACTGGCTGTGTGTCTGAAAAAATACTAGCAAATTAAAACACTAGGGATCTTCCCATAGTCAATGGTATCAGTAGTCAGGATGTTGCTAGAACTGACTCTGACTGAGGCTCTTGGTAACTCAGAACTAAGAAAAACTCTAAGGTACCAGTGAATCAACAACTCCTGTCATGTCTGATTGCAAAGTTTGCTTAACGTCATGAGCAAACGTACTCGAGCAAAGTCTGCATGAGACTTGAAGAGATGTCTGAAAAGCATGATGAGGAGGCAGGAACCCAGCCACTGAATATCACCTCAGTGATAAAAAGAAAAGCAAGCCAATAACAGACATGTCAGCAGCACCCTTTGACGAAAGCAGTAAAAAAAATATCTACAGGGCTCTGGCTGCCTGCCTGATATTTATTTTTCCCCCCTCTGTCAGTGTATAAATAACACTTGCATATTGGAAGCTGCACGAATAGCACATGCCTTGTGGTTTTGAAAACCCAAGCTGAACTGTGCAAGATTATGAGCAATTTCTTTAATCTCATCTAGCTTTCCCTCTGTCACACTCTAATGTGGTTTGCCTTCAGCCCAGAGGACACAAACTCTATTCTCTTGTGAAAATGAGCTGACAAAAAGGACATGTCTGTCTCAGAAAAACAAACCTATAAATGTTACAGCATGACATTAATTTTAGAATTCTGTGGGAGTTACTCTAAATCCCTCTTAAAGGTGATTCCTCAAAGAACCCAAAGAACTGGAAGAATCCAGGACCCACAGAAATGTGGAAGAGAAGAGTTTGAGCACCATGTGATGGATGGAAGATGAGACTTTCCCCTCTGGAGAAGTCTTGCAGGTTTACATCTGCTCAGTGCAGAGAAACAAATGCAGAGAAACCATTATTATACAAAATAATCAACTGAAATGCTACTTAATTTCATTTCCTCTGGCTAACTAATTAGAACGAGCCACACTATCTCTTTGAGATTGACTGCAGTAGTTGTGCACTGTATCTCGGGGGGGGAAGCAATCTGAACTGTAAATGTAGCAGGTATCAAAGATGAACAAAAAGTAGTGTCACGAGCTAAGTTTTGCGTGGAATGTTTGTTTCTGCTTTTATTTTGCACTGTTCCCATAATTCCTGCCAGAATCTTTTTTGAATATGAAATGTCAGGCTGATTATGTTTTGACTTAGTAAGGTTATTTCTCCAAGAAATTTGTTTTCAAGAAATGCATGTAGATGCATTTTCATTAAAATTCAAATTATTATAAATCACAAACAGTTTATTACTTGTTTCTTTGTGCAAGACAATTAAAAGATAGACTCAGTGATTTTTATTCCCAGTGCAAAAATGACATCTAACAAGCTGAACACAAGACAAATGAAATATTAAACGCCATTCGCCTGGGCTGTAGACTTCAATAGCAACGTGATCCAGGTTACTTTGGGATTTGATTGCAAGTTAGAAGATACTCATGGAACTGAGCTTAATTAATAGAGCAGTTTGTCCTGCTAAACAGACATGAAAGTCTCATCTAGTAAGTTTAGAAACTACTATTGCCTAAGTGATTTAAATTAAGAAGACACTCAGTATTACTCTCTTCTCTTTTTATCTTAGGTCAAATCTAAACCCCCCCCCCCTCCTCTCAAAAAAAAAAGTGATGGTGATTTTCCCTTTTCCCCCCATTATTTTTCCCCTTTCTAAGTACTATTTGAAAAACAGGTGCCACAGAATATTAGAAAATTAGGAGTTTAAAACGTTGCTCCCATTTTGAGAATTTGAGAACATAAGATAAGCAGCTGTTACAGTTGTTATTCAAGGCTCAATCCCACATCACTGAAAATAATGGACTCTTTCCTACTGGTACCAACTGGGCAAGAAGCAATTTTTCTAATATCACTCTGTGACAAATTACTGCAAGCGATCTAAACAAGTTACCAATTATTTAGCAAAATTAGCACATAAATATGAACCATTTTTTGGCCTTAGTAACTAAACACACTTGTCAGTTACAGATGACCAGCCTGATGTTATGAGCTCACTATTTTAATTAAAATCTCTATGTGATCTTGATTAAGTAAACATGGTGACAGATTGGCCTTGTATGCATGTAATTGTGATCAACTATATTTTAAGCCCCATTTGATCCAGACAGTATTTTATATTGCAAGCTTTGTCTAGCCTGTTGCTGCCTTTCAGCCATTCTCCTTCCTTCTCCAGGCAGACAGGAGAAGCTGCAGGCTCCTCAAGAACGAGGACACCAGGAACTGGATTGCTACAACTGGAACAATATCTAGCCTGAATCCTCAGGAAGAGCACAGAAAAATGCGGTTCCCAAGTGGCCTCTTTTCAAGGAAACCAAAAGACCTATGTAGTACAAGCTCAAAGAGGGAGTTACTGAAGACAAGCAGATTTTATTGTATGTGCAAAGCAGGTCCAGTTGTGCAGATACAAAGGGAATTTGGGGTGTGTCTTTCTCCTCCCATTAGAAGATGAAATACAGCTGTGGTCTACAGCTGAGAAGGCTGAACACTGTTAAGGATTTTAAATGACAAAGTTTAGTAGTGCAAAATGTGTGACAAAACAAATCTAACACAAAGGACCAAAAAAGACCAAAGAGCATCATAGGATATCTCAGACTGGAAGGGACACATAAGGACCATTGAGTTCAACTCTATGCTCCTCACAGGACTGCTTAAAAATAAACCATATGATTATGAGTGTTGTCTAGATGCTCCTTGAACTCTGACAGGCTTGGTTTGTGAATACTTCCCAACTATTGGGGAAAACATATGTATTTTACTCTTTGGCAACTGCCCTTGAGTGTTTGTACTCTACTACTGGAATATTTCTCTATTTGATTTTCTAAGCAAGACAATTCTAAGCAATTGTTAGTCAATAGAAGAAAAATATGCTCCATGAATCCCTCAGATGCAGCTGGGAAAGACTGAAACATGAGACAGAAATCCCCATCAACTGTTTTCACCGTCTCCTGTGAAATAATCCATAAGAAAAAGGAATTATAACAAATGTAATCTTAAAACAGCTGGATAAAGCTCTTAAGCTATGGATTTTATATGAATAAAGCTTTAATTTTTTTTTTTTTAAATTTCTTCCTTGTTTATAATAAGATCATTGATAAAATGTACAGTCAAGGAGATCATGAACTCTCATTTGCATTTGTTGGCCTACAGAAGGTTTTAGACAACAAGAACCCCTAACACTACAAAACACTGGTATATCACAAAGGTCAATGATTTTGTTTCTGAAGTTTTAACCTCTACCCTTATTCTTTTACTGAATAATCACATCAAAATGTGAAATTGCTAACATGACTCTCTCAAACACTGAAATAAGCTTTCAACTTCAGACTGAAAAGAACCAGAAAGGACCTAGAAAAGGCTGACATTCCCGTTAAATAGAGGAGGAAAGCAGGTTTATATCTGGCTGGTTCATCCAGTCTGTGCTTCTCACACTGCCTGATGACCCTGTAAGTCCTTCCAAAACATCAGCTGTGCATACCCTGAACATAGCCAGGCCTCCAGAGCAGCAGGAAGAGCTGTAACACACACACACAGACAGCCTGGGTTTGTTTTCTCACATGAGTATGACATACAGCACAGGTTCTAAAAATAAGATGAGAAGAGACAGTGGTTTTTATTCTTTGGGGGTTGAAGAGGTGGGAATGGGAGTTGCTATCAAAAGCCATTTGCCTGACAAGCAGGATCTGTGTTTTCAAACATGATACTGCTTATTCCTCTACTAATGGGAATTGTAAGCTTTTCTCACAGCGTCCTAAATGAGCAGCTGTGGACTGTGCTTGCCAAATGGATAAGGATGGGACTGGAAGGCAAAGAAACCAAATTTCAAGCTTCTCAGAATTTTTTTAAGCAAAAAAATACAGAACAAAACAGATCTATATAGTTTTCTACACAATAGCCATAGACTGTTAAAATTTAAAAGCTATTGAGGACATAGGTACTTAAATTTACATTTAAAAAGGCAAACCCCATTGTTTTAAGACAAAATAGAATCGTGTTTAAATGCCTTTATTCTGATTTTTTTGCCCCTTCATCCTTTAAAGCAGAATTTCTCACCTTCGCACAATTGTTTTGCACTCTTTATTGCTGGTTATTAGAGATTCACTTGCCTTTCTGAGCAGCATCCATGAGAACCTTTTCTAGTTTTACACCACAGCAATAAGCAGTCTGAGCTCTAAACTACAGTGTTTACACCAGCATTGCTTCTTAGCACACTTCCTACTACTTTAATAAATGTAGCAGTTGAATTTTGTTTTCCGGAGATTGTCTGAACTTCCAGTCCCATTTACTGC